CATCCTTTGTTTCAGTGATGATAATTTTGAACCAGGCCAAATTCAAGAAGGTCAATCTGAGAGCGGCCACCGAGCATTTGTTTCATAACTTGACGAATGTACAATTTTGCGAAGACTTGGCCTTTTTTGCAGGATACTGGTATCTCAAGTTAGCCCAGATTTCATGCCCAAAATTGTATGGTTTTGTGGCGGTATGCAATTTTTTGACGTAGCAGCAATATCCATGATTAAATGGACATAATGGACACATGTATTAGACATCTACAGTATACACATATGATATGTGTATATATATATATTGCACACACACACGTATTTATATATAGAGATTCACACATATGTACATATGTATATATATATAATTATACATATACATACACATGCAGTCACATACATGGTTAAATCCTTAAATGGACATGAATGGACATTTTTGGCACTTCGCAACATGGTACCAGACGCACGGCAGTTCGGTGCCGAGGTCGGTGGTGTTGATTGTACAGAGGTCCCATTCCGGGATGGTCGTTCCATTTTTCAGGGCCTGCTCCCACTTGGTGGCGAACTACCCACTTAGTAAGTGATTCTAACCCCAGTTACAAGTGGAATAACTCTACTTATCCCATTTATAACTGGGGTTATAACCCACTTACTAAGTGGGATAATCCACCAAGCATGAATGGGAATCTCAGAACCCTAAAATGGAGCTCTATATGCTTGGCATGTGGGGATTTTCCCTGAAAAAAATGGCTTGCCCTGAAATTTAGGCCTTACATATGGTAGGTACAGTAGGTACCTGTACCTCCAATTTAGGTCGAAATGGCCGTTGAATGCTGTTTCCTTCAAAATGTTGCAATAGTTAGCAAAGCTGATTTACCGTATAATTGGGCCAGCGTTTGTGGTATATATATATATTATAACTATATCTACAGTTAATGGGGGTCACAATCCAACAAACATAACTGGGTGGCACCACATTGTACGGGTACCACTTGAGGTTCTTTTGTGGTTTGGAAGACCGTCTTTGAACACCCAACCATGAGATGATGATTATCATTGACTTGAAAGTATCTGGGACGTATGAACTGTGGATATCATCATGTTATGGGGATAGAATGGGATCATACATATATGGGATACTATGGTTAATCTATGGGAATAATGGGAATATATGGCTCTGAAAATGGGATACTATGGTTAATCTATGGTTAATCTATAATTAATACTTGGAATAACAATATATCTGGTTGACGGTGACTGGAACCATGGAATTTTCTGACTTTCCAGAAACAGTTGGGAATTTCATAATCCCAAGTGACGAACTCACTCCATCATTTTTCAGAGGGGTAGGGTAGGGTTCAACCACCAACCAGATTATTGTTAATTAACCATCATTAACCATATATTAACCATATATATATATATATTAACCATTGTTGTGATGGTTTTTTCAACCACCAACTTTGCCATGTCCATTTTGAAGATCGTTTTCCAGTGTGGCATGTCTTCCAGTTGCGTGGATTTGTGACATCGATGCGTACTGAACTAGTCGCATTCTAATGCCAAGCTCCTAGTTTGGATCCATTTGTTTGGGAAAATATGATATGCTTACTGTAGTGAATACTCCAAATGAAACACAAATTTCTGGAGTTGCTGAAGACGTTTCTTATTCTCCAAGTGGTTACTCCACCATTTATCACCATTCGGTAATTCAAAATGGTTCTTCAATTGTTTGGTACTTAAAAATGGGTACTTGATATTTTTGCGTTATTCAACATGGTCCTTGCATGTCCTTGCTAATTTAACCATTTAAATTTATTTAACCAGTACTGGTTGGTGGTATACCTACCCCTCTGAAAAAGTATGAGTTCGTCAGTTGGAATTATGAAATTCCCAACCTATGGAAAAATAAATTCCACCAACCAGATTACTGTCATATTCCATATATGATATTGGGAATAATGTTCCAAACCACCAACCAGATATATTGTTATTCCAATTACTAACCATTATTAACCATTATTAACCATTATTAACCATTATTAACCCTAGTTTAACCCATAGTTTAACCATAGATTAACCAGGAAAATTCATGTTCCGAACCACCAAGCAGATTACTCGGTGAGTTGGTTGACAGAAAACTGTCGATCGCCAAAATGGAAGGGTACCCTCTGGTTATGACTAACATAGCCATGGAAAGATCCACCATTTTTAATAGGTAAGCCATCTTGGACCATTTTCCATGGCTATGTTAAATAACCAGAGGGTAAATGATGGCAATTATATGTGGATTTCATAGGATACACTACAATGTGAGGCCCCCGTTCGAGAACGCTAAGTTGGTGCAAATAACTCCAATAACTATGGTTTATGGTACTTATAACTATAGTTACTGGAGTGAATCTAAACCAACTTATAACTGGGGGGCCTCACATTGTAGGATACACTAGGATATGATGGTATACAACAGTATATAACAGGATATAATTATAGCAGATGGTATAGAATAAAAGCGATACAGTATGTGGCTGTGTCCAGAAGTAATACATAGCCCACAGAAAACACTAAATTCACTAAATGTTGATGGCAAAAATAGTGAAAGGAGGTTCTAAACCACAGGCACCCTTAAATTTTCTGCAAAGCCATGATGACAAAGCAGTCTAGCTATGGACAAGTTTCGCTCGTAAAAACGGGGTGATCTTCCACAGCTATTTCACAGCGATCTCATGACCATACGTCGTATTGGGAAACGGAAACGATCGAACGCGGTTATATGACAGTTGGCTTAAGACATATCAGGATGTATTTATCGATAGATATGTGTATATGCAGAAATTGTAGAGGTATTGTTGATTACTGTATTTGCAAAGTTTGCAAACAATTGACATCTGGGAAAAAAGTCCATTCCACCCGGAACAATTTATGTGTGATAGTGGGTTGCACTGAGAAGACCGAATGGCTTCTATTTGCAATCCCATTCCCGTCCCCATTACTTGATTGACATATGATTGGGAACATCTTGTATTTATTTATATATATAATGTGTATATATATATAATCATATATAATACATATATATATGTATGTATGCATGCATGCATGCATGCATGCATGCATGTATGTAATGTAATGTAATGTAATTTAATTTAATGTAATGTAATGTAATTTAATGTAATGTAATGTAATGTGATGTATGTATGTATGGATGTATATTCACATATACATACACAATTTTGTATATATGTATGTATATGTATCTATGTATATATGTATCTATGTATCTATGTATATATGTATATATGTATAGATGGAAATATGTATATGTGTATACTGTATATATGTATAGATAAATATATCTATATGTATATGTCTGTATCTGGATGAATTATAATAAGGACTACACTGCAACGTCACTGGACTGATGATTAGTATAGGGAATCATCCCAAAATAGTCATTTTACAGATTAGTAAACTATAAATATTTATCCGGATGTATACAGTATATTGCATGGTAGCCATGATATGTCTCCACTTCGCAGATCACCATTTTTCCACCATCACCATCCGTTCTCGAGCTGGATGCAGGCTCATCACATTCTGCTCAGTCAAATTGCCGGATTTCAACCAGGCAACACACAGAAGTGGGGGATTTACCCACCAATTGGTGGCATTTAAATACTATTTAAATGGAGAAAAGAAGGGTTTAACCATTGAGTTTGGTCGCTTCCCACATTCATTTTTCCCAAGGTTCAAACCACATGTTTTTTTTGATTTGGATTAGTCTTCAGCCATTATATTTAGTGGTTTTTTTTGACACTTGACACAAGGTTGTTCGATATTTTTAACATTAGTACTGGGAAGACAAACGCCAGTCCCTTGACTGCGAATCAATTTCTTCGAGATAAGGTCAAAGAGGGTTCCACCTTATCATGTGGTCAAATGATTGCCACAGCAAGGTGGGCCCCTAGTTACAAGTAGGTCAAGTATGGTCTATGCTACATGTATCATATACCCTGGGGTCAAGCATCATTATGGAACAGAAATCCTAGGGAAACCATTGGGTTTCCATATCGAAACGTAAAAACCCTAGGGTATCCATAGCCCATGGTGTTTTTGCATCAATTTCGAATTGTGCGGGGGGGGGGCACCACCTTGTTTGGAGCAACAAGATCATATGAGACCTAGCACATGAAACCGCCATTTATTCAATGGCCATTTCAGGATCCTAGATTGGAGGTACCTACCATATATAAGGCCTATATAAGGCCTATGTAAGGGAATTCCCATTGATTTATGATGGTTATAAGAACCATTTATTGGCTTTATTTGGGGGGTTCACCGAAATCGGGGGGCGGTCGGTGCTTAAATTCCTGCAAAAAATATCTCCCAATTTTGATTGGCTCACGAGGCATTTGTTTCGCCAGTCAAGCGTGGCTGCTTTGCCATGTTTATGGGCAGTGACCTAGCCAACTAACCTCTGGTAGACATACAAAAAACTATGGAAAATCACAATTTTTAATGGCTAAATCCACTATAAATCACCATTTTCAAAAGCAAACTGTTGGTTTACCAGAGGGTATTCTTTGTTTCCAGGGTATCCGATCTGGGATCGGGGGTGTCTCAAGAGCATCCCATGACATTTTGATTCCGGAACTCAACGGGTATCCAAGTTATGTGGCTTGCTCCATTTCGTAGATGGGAATGAAGTTAGTTGACTGATATTAGTTCGTAATTTATATAGATCCCTTTAAAAGGCCAGCTATAAGGAGTTGACTGATATTAGTTCGTAGTTTATATAGATCCCTTTAAAAGGCCAGTTATAAGGTTTGAAACCATCAATTAACCAGTGAACTAATCCATGGCCCATCACCATTCGGGGGCTTGACCGCCGGAGGGTACTCCCACACCATCCCAGCATTTCCATGAAAAATAAATCCTATTACACCCCATAAACATAATAGGTAGATCCCTGAAACCAACAGGAGAACATGAGCGCTTTGCAGCCCATGAAGAGCAGTAGCCACCGTGCTGAGACTGAGCGTGACGGTGAGCTCAGGTGGCTAGGCGATTTCGCCACACATTTTGATGTGACTTTGACACAAGAAACCATGGGCTACTAAAAATCTAGAAAAGGGGATTGATAGGGATATATTGATGATATTTGATGAATTATATACATAATATAATATAATATAATATGATATAATAGATAATATTTAATAATATAATACAGATTAGAATTTACAATATACAACTTATAATATTATATAGTTTAAAATATAATAAACTATATATATAATATAGAATTTAATGCTGAATTTATCATGTAGAATTTATGATATGTAATATATAATATTATCTAATATTACATAATATTATATAATATAGAATTAAATATAGTGTAATACAATACAATATATTATGATGCAATATAACATAGCACAAAATAATATAATATAGCCTAATCTAATATGATATGATTTAATATATTTATACATAGTATAGCATAATACCATATTACCATATTTTTAATACAATTTACTGTAATACACTATGTATTAATTTACTATAGTATGAATTAGTATAATAAGATATACTATATAACAATATATCTTATCATGATATAGTATAATATAATACACTATAATTTATTTTTATACAATATAGTACAATATAATATAACACATTATAATTTAACATAGTATTATATAGTGTACTATAATTTCATTTATCATATTATATAATATTTAATTTTATCTAGTATAATATAGTGTTATATAAAGTTGTATTTCATTTAATATAGTATATTATATAATATATAGTACATAATATAATTTAATATATTACATAAATGTTTATTATATCATTATATATATATTATAATATCATATAACATAATACAGTACAGTATAATATGATATGTTACTATATCATATATTAATATACTATTTATACCGATACTGTATCTGTTTTTCGGTTGGGTCTAATCAGGTCTAAGCCAGGTTAAGGTGGGGCTCCCAAGTTGGAGATGTGTTTTATTCAGCAAATAAATTGGATATTGTGTAGGAAACTATTTCAAAATGTGGGAAAACCATGAAACAAATGTACTGTAGAAACATTAGAAACATCGAGTAAAACATAGGTGTTGATCCATGAAACATGGGGATTTATAAGTGCCTTAACCAACAACTTGATGGGAATTATAGTTGATTTATGATAGCAGAGATGGCTTACTGTCCTAGGTCAACGATTGGGTTTATGGTAGATATGGGTTTGTCTCAATATATAGTAGCGCAAAATCTGTTGATTCATCATCAGTTTCTGTTCCCTATTAACATTGCCATGTGGAGGTCCATTTTCAGACAAACCCATATATCTAGGTAAATTATAACGACCTCACTGCGACCGAACCCTGGAATCATGGTAAATAAGGGAAATCATCCCCAAATGGCCTTAATTCAAGTTAGTGAAATTTTGTAATTTACCCGGATATATGAAAATAAATGAAAATATCAAATTATTTAATGTGGGTCATAAACCCGCAAACACAACTGATGGTTGCGCGCGCTACCTTTCGAAGAAATATAGATCTCATTGGCGCAAAGAAAGATGGATCGAACAAATATAAAGGTTGATCGAACAGTGCCCAAATTTGTTGGTTTCGATATCTTTACTGTCTCAAAAAACAGTTTCGTCGAAAAAAAGCAAACCTTGATTTTGTTGGTTAAAGTCAGTTAGTCCACATTTTCGCTCGTCAAAATGCAAATGTGGAAAACCCAAAAATTAAACAACTCCCATTTGGGCATGTTCTTTAACAAACCCATATGCTCAATGGTGCTGGAATATTTACAGTACCAGCATTTGCCCGAACAAAATCACCCTGTTTTGTAGGTAAATATACCAGCACCATGGAGCATATGGGCATGAAAAGTGATCATCACAATCCAGTTGCTGGGAATCACAATATCCAGCCCCTCTACAGTTCTGCACCAAAATATACCAGCACCATGGAGCATATGGGAAACCATTTATTGTTGGTAAATATTGTCCCAAACAGTGATGTATACATGGTTTCCCATATGCTCCATACAATGGAAAACCATGTATAGGTTTCCCCATACAATAAATGTAGGTAAATCAGAACTAGAGTATCTTCTCACCATAACAGGTATATCGCCATCGCTTATCCCCAAGAAATGTGGCAGCCATTAGTCACAAGTCCAGATCCTGCATTTTTGGCTGCCGGACCCATGCGGCTTAGCCCCAGCGCAGCTGGCGCTATTTGTGAATTTTTCTCCCAATCGGCATGGGTCGTTGGATCGCATAGATCCATCCATAGAACGTCGTGGGTTGAAATCATGGCAGATTTTGTTTTCCAGTTTGGATACTTTCCGGGTTTCATAAATCAATCCATGACTTTGAAAGTGCTTGTCCAAAGGTTCAAGCGAGCTGCCATGCGACTGTTCCAATCCCACCAGCTGTCCATTAATGCCCTGAGATCTACACATTTGTTGAGTTTTGGATTTTGCCACGTAGCTTCCCTGCACATTTCTCGTTCATTCCATTTTCCGGACCATATCTTCGCTTTCTTGATGGGGTGTGCCTCCAGATTTGCTGCAAAAAATAATCCGCTCAATTTTGTGCCACCTTTACATGAGTTCTTTTGATTGAGTGATGCTTGCATTCAAATTAAATGGCATTCGCCTACGCCGTCTTCGCCCAGTTTCTTAGCTTGGAGGTGGCTGCGTTGTTGGAGAAAAAAAAGTTTACCATAAAATCTCATCTATAGATGGTTTACCTATTAATAATGGTGATTTTCCAGTTCGCTATGTTAGTCATAACCAGATGGGACTAGTATTTCTGGTATTATTCCCATGTTTCACCAGTTGAAATCATCAATTTTTGCTGTTGAAATCACCAGTGGAAACCATTTATTGTTGAAACCATTTACCCTCTGGTTATGACTAACATAGCCATGGTATAGATGGCTCATTATAGATGGTTTACCGTTCTTAAAAATGGTGGATTTTCCCTCGAAAACCTCCACGTCAGCTGCCGTCGGCGCGAGGTCGCCCCGGCAAAACCGCCCGCGGTCCCCGCGGTCTCCTCGCGGGGATGTGCGCGAGGAGGCGAGGACGGAACGGGGCGGGACGGATGGCTGGTGGGTGCCCCAGGTGCCCCGGGCCCCTGCTGGGCCTCCCCGTTCGATAGCTAGTTGTTGGTTGATTTCATTGAATTCTATGGTTTATGGTAGGTATAACGTACGGTATAACTATACTTTTTAGGGGGTTTATAAACCGACTTAAACTTATAACGTTTGGGCGCCCCACATTATAGAGAATTTCAGCATCATTCATAGGGGATCTATAGGATTTTCATGGATTTTCACTATCAAACATATGGGGGGGGTCTTTTTTTATGGGGGATCTCCAAATCACCTTAGGAGTTTCAATACTAAAGTGCTCTAAGGACTTAGATGATTTGGGGGTACCTCCGTGTTTGGGAACCCGTACATGGGATATACCCAAATTATTATAGAGTATTTAACCATCATTGATAGGTGATGTTTAGAGTTTTTACAAACAAACATATATGAGGATGTAATTGATAAATGTTGGTTGATGATTATAATGCGAATGTCCGAAACCCAACAAGAAACCTGCCTTTCTTGGAGGGTTTATACTACGTGTCTACCATCCATCTACTATCTATAGTGATGCTGGGGATGATTTATTGGTGGGTTTACTACATTAATTAACCCACATTGGATTTAAAACCTGTCTATCTTCTTTGGATACCATTGTATTGGGGATGAAGTTGCCACATGGCCTCTTGGGGTGAAAAGGATGATGTTCATATTGGCTTTGTCTAAAAAATGGTATACCTTCCAATGGCAATTTGAACACGGAAGATATTGAAAAATCATGGTGTTTAGGGAAAATACTTATTCCGATACGATGGATATGATGGCAAATGATGGAGCATGGTCGGTTAAGCATTGACCATGACTTATCCATAAGTCCATGACCCGTTTATTCATGATACCTCTTCCTATCATTGGTTCATGATATATAGTTGGTTATGATTGATGGATTTTGGACAAGGATGGAGGGCAGATAGAAATGATAGTATCTGGAAAGTGCGCTACAAGGTTCTCTACCGAAGTTTCTGCTCAGAGCAGACCTGCGACAAGCTTGCTTCGCTCATCGCCAAACAATGCTACCAGAGCACCACAAGCAGGGTCACGAGGCGTGCTTGAATTTGTCTCCCAAAGGCTTTGAATGGAGAGGCAGAGACGAATCCTAGCTGCAAAATGCTGGAAAAGGGGTCTGAAAGCGCCATGATTGTCCGATGTAGCTTGATGCTTGACGTCAGAAAAGAAGAAATGCAAAAGTTGCCAACATGAGATAACAATTTGGCTGCGCGTGATGACGAATGTGAAAACTATGCTGGCAACACCACATTCAGCACCATATGATTTGGTTCAAGGCCCACACAAGGAGAGAAGGTGTTCGCCTGCTGTGCATGTCAATAAAGCAGTACATCTTCCTGGGGTAAGCGATATAGTCTTGGTGACTGACCGATCGATAACTGCGCGTCATAGATGACAGGGACCATCGGACCATCAGTTGCTACAGCGGACCTTCTCTCGAAGCATATCAGGCTACGAAGGAATGGATTCTTAATGAAGGCTCATGCTGGATCTCACAGTAGGAGTTTTTATGGACTCCAAAAAAGGAATCTTCCGCCGACCAAGAGTTAGGGTTCGGAAAGAAAATGATCAGATGGATCCACTCAGTATTCACACCTCAAAAGAGGTTTTTAAGGTGAATTTGGCACAATGTGAGGCCCCCGTTCGAGAACGCTAAGTTGGTGCACATAACTCCAATGTCACTATGGTTTATGGTACTTATAACGAACTAGTTACTGGGGCGAATCTAAACCAACTAACATCACTGGGGCGCCTCACATTGCAGGTTCTGATGAACGGAAAATCCTTGCCCAAAAGTTTGTCCACTCATGGTGGCCCGTACCCCGGGCTCACAGGATACAAGCTGCGGGCGGGAAAAAAACATGCCATACTTTTTCTTCGCGAAAAATTCTGTCACCTTGATATCTACAGAGATTCTGACACGTTTGCCACACCAAGACTTGTTGCAGCCGCTTTGGACGACTAAGATGATGGGAATACTTGTTGAGAATTTAGGGGAACACCGGAAATCCCCACATGCCATGGTTTATCATCATTTTCCCGATCACCAATGTCCTATGTTCAACAAAGTTATCTAGATCCATTGTGTGAGGAAGTCCGACCGCTGGTGCTTCAGAATTTGTGTGGTCAAGGGAGTGATTCCCTTTTTTTGACATCCACAAATTGTGTGATGGCATGTCCATCTTACTACAATGATCAGTTAATTGTGTTCCTGATGACTTTGATTGTGCGTGTCCACGAATCGTGCGAACGTACATTAATTACATATAGATGATGATAGGTGCGTTTGTATATGCCATATGATATCATATGCATGCGTTTTTTTAGTGGTTAAGAAAAAAAACATTAATTCTGAGTAAAATTGATCTGATTTGCTGCATATCCTCAAGTCTTGGTGATCATATTCCAAGAACATGACAGTGGCGAGGCCAAAGGACAAACCACATCAAATCATCGTGCCAACGTGAATCTAACCTTTTTTGTGGTTCATCTCCCGCTGCAGGGATATGGTTCGGATCGAGGACAGAGCAAGCAAACCTCAGCGCCCTGGCAAGGGGTAAACCAACTGGGTTATGGCGCTTATGGCGGTTATGGTTTAACGAGTTTAACCATGTTTAACCATCAAACACGCCAGGGAATATCAGCCGATGGTTTGAGAATTGCAGCATATTGTATCCATTATCCAGGAAACTTGAGATATACCCTCCAGTAAATTAACATATACCCTGGCAGTCATCGGGGTTGGAAGATTAGTTTCCATTCAAAAATAGTTATTTTCAGGGTCTATGTCAATTTACCAGAGGATAAACAAGCAAAATATGGCAAAACTATGTGTAGCACTTGGATGTTTTTTTGTTTTCCTGAGGCCATGGCAGTTTAACCCTTTCATGGGGGTAAACTGGGATCAACACGGATAATGGATGCGTTACGGCTAGCATCAGCAACGGGAATATTAATCATATATTGACCATGAATAACTGGATATCTTGATTTCTATATGATTCATTTTCAGATGTTGATATTCAGGATTCATGTCCATTGTTCATATTTGGCGAATGGAAATTTGATAGAAATCCCAAAAACATCTGACTTTCCAAATATGGGATTTCCTAGTTTTCCTAGTCTTCACAGCATTTGATATCTGACCAGAAAATTGGGAAGACTTCGGATCATGGCTGGGGTGAACCAACTGGAGAGTGAACAACCACATGGAGAGCTGATTTTTCAGAACGGGGTTGTTCACCTGGGTGAAGGGTAGTTTAATAGAACTTCATTTGGAGGTTTCCGTTTCGTCATGCGGGTACCCCCAGTTATCATCCAGTTATAGATGGCTTGTCCATTATAGACCAACCATTTCGGGGATCCCCTATTTATGGAACCCCCCATTTGGTGCTATAAACGGGAACATTTACGAACCAGCTAAAGACGTTTGGCATGTTTCTTTTGTAAGGTTGGTCCTGATATGAGCGATCAGTGGAGAATTTTAGGACACCCTTTGGACAACGGCCAAGGTGGTTGATTTCCCTAGGCGAACTAGGGTTTATTGTAGACATATTGAACGAGAAAGCAGGGTAAATTTAATATTAAACCATCCCAATGTCGGTTTATTCTTGGGATGAATTTCAACGAAGCCCTCATGGCGTCACTGGGATGTGAATTATTGGGTTTACCACATTAACACATTAATCTGGGTAAATTATAACGACCTCACTGCGACCTCACTATAATCATAGTTAGTAAGGGAAATGATCCCCAAATGGCCTTAATTCAGGTTAGTGAAATATTATAATTTACCCCGATTAATTAGTGTGGTTTACAAGCCAACTCATAACTTGGTGTCTGACAAGCTTCGTGATGGGAATGGTTGGGGTGCCCATATCCGATACGGACCGCGGTGACCCTCTACTCAAGCCTTAAAGCCAAGTCAAGGTGTTGACCCATAAGATGGAAGACTCATTGATTACAACATATTGTAGAATCGTCTTGGAAGCTCAATGATATCTTCCATTTTGGGACCCATATTTTTTTTGTGTCACAGTATAAACTTAGTATAAACGGTACAAGCAGGGTCCAGTTGGAGCTATGACATGTTTGTCTCATGAATCTGAGTAACCAGATTTTTTTCGATACCCCTGGAACTATGGCGACCTAGCAACCCCCTCATAACCCTCACTTGGCAGCCGAGATTGTGAGTCATTGGGAGGTCACCTTTGTAGAAAAATCCCCAGAAATGAGCTACGATTAGTGGGGTACAATTCATAGTTAGTTAGTCATGATCATGAAATACATTAGTTAGTCATGATCGTTAGATAAACGGTTTTTGACATCTATTGTTTAATCAAACCATGATGAACCGGGTTGTCAATCCCCATGAAAACAATAGCATTTATGGCTACTATAGCCATAATAGCTTCACCTTTGTAGCTTTTTTACGCACCATTTCTGGCCATGTAAAACCATGGGTTTTTACGTGGAGGTGAGTCAACGGATGACATCTGCCACCTATGGCAGGACATGTCTGGGGTTTGCTTGCGTTCTGAAGCACAAAATGTGTCCGGGGATATTCATACTGGGTAGCAAAAAGGATCAATTGCTTCTTCATGGATAATCAATGTGAGCTATTCTTGTAATTTGTTACATAGCTCTTGAACATGACCATTTATGGTTGATTTACCTAGTAAAAACTGTGATTTTTCATAGTTATGTTAGTTTACCAGAGGGTATATCCCAGTAAATCCCATTAGATCCCATTGATTCCCATTAAGTCACCATAAAACCCCACTAGTTTACCAGCGATGAATCATTTAACACTGTCCATCCAAGGTTTACAAGAGGGTAACCGATCAACAATCATTTTGTCAATGATATCCCCATATGTTAACACTTCATAAATCCACACTACAGTATTTGATGGTTGAATCCGCAAATTCAATCGCAATTCCAAAATTGATAATAACTATATAATCAACAAGGCTATGTTTTATACTTCTATGCCATATCTTTGTTAGTCAGAAACTCCATACGGCCTCTATAATTGATGTTTAATTCCCAATCCAACAGGGCAATCCAACGGGTATTGTAAGGAGTTGTAGCACCTGGTCTGTCAATGAATGAAGTGAACTCACCCGTAGGGAAACTGTGAGCCAACCAACTAGTATTTCATAATATGGGATACAGGATGGGCCCACGTTCGATAACGTTCAGTTGCCTTATAAGTGGCTGAATTCTATGGTTTATGGTACATTATTTAACTATAGTATTCATGGGGTTTATAAACCAACACACATAACTGGGGGGCACCATCCTGTATGGGTTATGGGTATATGTTTATTGGCTCAAACTTGGCTCAAACGAATACCCTCTGGCAATTTGTTACAGTTTGCGACATTGAAAAAATTGCACATTTAGTTCGTTGATTTACCGAACACTTAAAGATTGTGATTTTCCACTTCGCGAAGTGTAAACGTTTGAGGCTCAACGAGCAGTGGCTGCATCCAAGCTGCATCCTCCTGGTTGAGAAATGTTTCTTCGGATCCACCATCGACATCGGGATACGCTTACCCTCTGGTAGACATAGAAAAAACTATGGAAAGATCCACCATTTTTCATTGGAAAATTCACTATCAATGGTTATAAATGGTGATTTTCCATATGTTAAAGTGATGCCAGGGACGCACGGACAAAGTCCCAAGGATTCGCTTCAATTTGGTGACAATTTCAAATAGCTGGTATGATTTTTTACACAGCTATTGAAAATGGCCATAGAAATAGTTGATGTAAAAGGAAAAAAATATATTTCACATTCAATCAGCCATTATTCCAATAGTTGATGTACCCATAAAAAATGGTGATTTTCCAAAGCTTTTGTTAGTTTACCAAAGGGTATAACAGGATTCACTAGCACCGCATTTGCTTCGCGACTGCATTCTGATAGCGCTCCCAAGTAGAGCTTAGAGCCCATGCGCCACAGTGGACGCCTTAGATGTGATACTGCGGATGGAAGAAATCCTGCACCAGTTGGGAACCATTAGGTACCTATGAAACACATTGAAACACTGTAAACAATGGGAATATAATGGGATTATAATGGGACAAAACACATTTACCAACTGGTGCAGGATTTCTTCCATCCACAGTATGTCCCATTTTAATCAATTTTATCTGGTTGGTGGTTTCAAACATGTTTTATTTTCCATAATATATGGGATATTTTTTCCCATTGACTAATATTTTTCAAGGGTTAAAACCACCAACCAATTATGGTTGTTATAAGAATGCAATCTGATGCGCAGTATGATATGTCTACCATAAATCATTAACCTACAGTGATTTCATCCAACTATCACACGGTACCCTCTGGTAAACTAACATAGCTGTAGGAAATCACCATGTCTAAGCTCGGTAAATCAACCAACCAAATGGACTATTTTCAATAGCTATGTAACAAATTGCCAGAGGCTATATCCCAGTAAATCCCATGAAAGATCCCATTAAGTCACCATAAAACCCCATTAAATCCCATTTAGTCACCATAAAACCTCATCATTATCCCAATCATTTAGTCCCCAATCATTGTTTTAGTGGAGACCGGACTCGAAGTGTCGGGAGGATGCTGGGACGCTTCTATTGGATGCATCTGGAGTTTGAGATCAGCCGAAAGGCGGCGCCCCACAGCTGTGAAACAAAAATGGGGGTACCCTCTGGTTAACTAACAGAACTATGGAAAATCACCATTTTCAATGGGAAAACTCACTATAAATGGCCATTTTCAATAGCTATGTTAGTTTACCAGAGGGTACACCAAAAGCTGGATGATTTAGAATGGAAAATTCTGTCAAAATGGATGATTTGGGGATAACCACCATTTGTGCAAAGCTCCAAATTGTGGATGACTAAACTTTAGTCACGTCCGTATATGTCCGTATTTTTAATGCTATTTTAATGCTAAAAACAGTATTGTGTTTTTATAAAAATGGGGATCATTTATTTACCAACTCTCTTTTGTTAGCATGTTTTTTGCATTTTTGGTGGCTGTTTTTTTCTGAAAGCCATCCTCTGGTGAACTCGTACCGGATGATGATCAGTCGGTTTATGTTTCTTTCAATGGGTTTGGCGTTTGATTTTTCAAATTGCACACTATGTCATGCCTCCAAATCCCATATATCATATATTACCAAGATCTGATTATTGTATATTATCGTATAAAATTTAAAAGGATTATTGAAGGATATCTACTTAACACATCTTAATACCCTCTGGTAAACATACAAAAAACTACGGAACATCACCATTTTTTAGCTGGGTAAATCCACTATTTCAAGGGCCATTTTCCAATAGCTGTGTAAAAAAATACCAGAGGGTATATCCCAGTAAATCCCATGAAAGATCCCATTAAGTCACCATAAAACCAGAGGGTAGCCCTATGTGTGTATAGATTGTATGATCTTGCCAGTTGGATGACTGAAACTGAAACGAAGCAACGGTCGTACGCCAGATTTGTTTAACGGATGTGTTGCTGTTGCATTGAAACTACACAAATGTTGGTGGTTTGGAACATTTTCCTGGTTAATCTATGGTTAATCTATGGTTAATCTATGGTTAATCTATGGTTAATAATGGTTAATAATTGGAATATCAATATATCTGGTTGGTGGTTTGGAAAATGAATCTAATATGTTCCATATATTGGGAATAATACTCCCAACTGACTTTCATATTTTTCAATATGGTTAAAACCACCAACCAGAACTAGAATTCTAGGATCTCTAGAACATGTTCAATCATAGCCACATACAATATTGTTGGTCATACATATCACCATGAATAACAATGATACACCAATCGTGTGGTTGTTTTTACTACCGCGCCGGACACCCCCACACAAAAGAACATAACAACATATATTGACCATTGTCAATACAAATTGTAATAGTTTACAGCAATCTGATATATTTTACCAACATATATGATGATCAGTTTTGTTGTCTAATTCAACCTCTTGTGTCCCACAAATACGATAACCCCAACAGTATCTTCAAGATACAAGGTCTAGCCCCCAAACAATTGCTAAATTGGTGTATAGTCAGCTACGGTTTAGGGTAAATATAATCTATAGATGCTGCTGTTTGTACACCGGCAAACACAAATGGGTAACACCACCATGTATATATATATATATACATATCATTTGTGTTGGTCATTGTTTTATAACCCCAACTAAGGCTAGATATATCCACCATAAACACACTCCTTAGCCTGAAAATCATCGACTTAACTATCGGACCTTGGGGCCTCACCTTGTACAATAAATTTGGTGAAACCCCATTCTACATTGTAATTTTTGGTATATATAATATGATATTGAATATAATATATAATATACTTTAATATAATAGAATATAACGTAATGTATATAATATAATATAATAGAATACGCGTATAATGTCATATTAATATAATGTAATATAATATAATATTATATTATGCATATTTATTTCATATATCCTCCATTCGTACTCCATATGTATATATACATATATATATTCCTATCTAAAACGGATTTTGTTTGTGTAAACCCTTCTGGAAAAGCCTTGAAACTGGCTATGCCCCTGGGTGCAGGTGAGGACCTTCATTCGCCGCTTCACTGTCATTGTACCTTGGCTCTGGGAGCAACCAGTAACGAGTAGCTCTGTAGCCCTGGTGAACTAACATAGCCCTGGGATTTAATGAGGTTTTATGGTGACTAAATGGGATTTAATGGGGTTTTATGGTGACTTAATGGGATCTTTCATGGGATTTACTGGGATATACCCTCTGGTACTCGTAATTTGTTACATAGCGAACTGGAAAATGGCCATTGAAATAGTGGATTTACCCAGCTAAAAAATGGTGATTTTCCAGTTCGCTGTGTAAACGTTTACCAGAGGGTAGTAGCCCTGGTGAACGTAAGTCCCCGATTCTTTCCGGGTTTCCCGGGAGCAGATGTGTCCTCCTCCATGGGTCAAGATGGTCAAGCATCACCTTGTGGGGGAGATTTATGAACCATGACGAAGATACATGAAGAGAACGACGAAGACTCTGGTGTTGAACCTTTGAACATGTGGATTTACGATGGTTTTTAACCAACATTAAACATGAGTCAACTTTGAAAATAACCGGAAAAATCATGGCACGTGAATGGAATGCGAATATAACGGTATGAATACCCACTTGTGGCAGCATCCCACTTAGACTTAGTATGTAGTTGATAGATGTTGATAGCCCATAACTTGGGATATTCCACTCTTCTTACCCACTTCCCGATTCCCGGGATGTAAATCCTACGAATTTGGATCAGGATGGGAAGTGTTTTGCCACAGAGCGAATGTTGAAATGTTGATGTATCTCGGGTCTATGAAAATCATCGATGGCCATTTCAGGAACCTAAATTGGAGGTACCTAGCATAAGGCCTTTATAAGGCCAATGTAAAGGGATATCCCCAGAAAATATTGCCTTATATGGTACAGTACCTCCAATTTAGGATCCTGAGATTCCCATTGAAATCATTACAGTATTTGTTGAATTGGGTCGAAACATTATATTTGTTGATGGCGAGTTCCAACAGTTTGTTTATTAAATGGGAGCATGTTCCATGATTTGTTATTTGTTGCTTGGATCCAATATGTCGATGAAATCCAACACAATCTCGATATTTGTTGATAAGGAACCGACCAGAATCTAACCTGGGTAAAATAGAGTTTTTTGAGTGAACTCCCATGTTTTTCTGGTAAAGACCTTGAGATTCCCTAAACCTTGTTGATCAACTTAACCTCTGGTAAATTACATAACTATGGACAATCACCATTTCAATATGTAAATCAATTATCAATGAGCAATTTTCAATGTCGCAAACTGTAACAAATTACCAGAGGGTATATCCCAGTCAATCCCATAAAACCCCATGAAATCCCATTTCACCATAAAACCCCATTAAGTCACCATAAACCCCGTTAAATCCCATTCAATCCCATGAAAGATCCCATGAAATCCCATTTAGTCACCATAAATCTCCATTACTAACCATTACTAACCACTACTAACTAGTTAAATCACCATGGAATCTGCTTCTCAGCCGGGCGTTCCGCTTCGCTTCGCACAGATCTTCTTCTTGGTGCCGGTCTACTTGCGGTCCCTGGTGATTCCATGGCCTGGGTCCCGATCTTTTGCGTAACGTGGTTCCACCAAGCATGCTATGGGATAATGGTATATAGTATAATGGAACAAGATCTAGCCAACAATGATCAACAATCAACCATATTATCTATCTATCTATCTATCTATCTGTCTGTCTGTCTGTCTATCTATCTATCTATCTATCTATCTAATCTATCTATCTATCTATCTATCTATCTATCTATCTATCTATCTATCTATCTATCTATCTATCTATCTATCTATTTGTCTGTCTATCTGTCTGTCTATCTATCTATCTATCTATATATATATATATATATATGGGCAAATTATAACGACCTCACTGCGACCTCACTGTTCTCCCGAAGCCTGGAACCATGGTTTATTTTAGGGGAATCGTCCCCAAATGGCCGAACTATTCAGGTTAGTGAAATATTATGATTTACCCAGATGGATGTTCCACTGAATAGTAGTTTACTATGGTTTGGAATATGGGGTAATAGATGTAATATGATGCAATAGGGAAAATAACGGGATGATACTGGGATATGATTGGATTTACAATGCGGTAATCAAATGTGGCAATTGAAATCCACCAATTTTATAGATGATTTTCCTATATATGTAAACCAACACAGATTCCCATCATCAAACATGGCAATGGGAAATCCATTCGTAGAAGATCTTCACACTATTCTGTCCATTCACAATCGTTCCACGTCGAAATAGGCTCGTCCATAGACGATACTTGGTGAAATCAAAACTGTGCAACGTCACTGATCTCTCAGCGCTATACCAGGTAGGAAATCCAATAGAGTATCAGAACCATGTTGATCATATACATCTTGAACACAGACATTACCCTCTGGTAAACTAACATAACTATAGAAAATCACAATTTTTAATGGGAAAACTCACTATAAATGGCCATTTTCAATAGCTATGTTAGTTTACCAGAGGGTAAACTACTAGTAGTGGAGAGGATCCAAACATTATTCTGCATGCCGTTCAACCCATCCAAAAGAATTCTTGCCAGCCGGTTGGACAATCCTATTTTGCAAGCCCGGACAATTATATAATAACAAATTTAAGCCACCAATCAGTTTGATTGTACCCCGATGTTTGCTGACTTTGATCCACCATTTGCAATTGAGCAATGCCACAACCAAGTATATAGCAACACCCAAACAGACAGAACAACATGAAAACCCATACATTACAACTCTGGAGGTGGATATCGTGTGCAACCTCCTCCTTTGTTTCTACTGTCTCTATTTGGGCTTCGGATATTTGGTGTTCCAAGCGACAGAGATTAGGGATTGAAACACCAAACGCTGGCACCTGTCACAATCAGATTTGATCCATGTGTAAAGCTTAAATCGCTAAGGAATACCCAAATTGAATATGAGTGTGTGGGAAAATGTGGTTCAAAGGGTGCAATGTTTATCTCGATTGTGATGCTTATTCATGGATACCTATGAATTTATGAGAATTTAGGGGGATACTGTATGTACCTTATTGGTCAACAAACCCGTTTAGACTAGTTTGTTTCAATCCCATGGGAAGGGCCTCCCAAGTGATAAGTTGGTTTATTATTCAACTGTGTATATATATATATATACTGGTTGGTGGTTTGGAACATGATTTTTTTTTTGCATATATTGGGAATGTCATCATTCCAACTGACGAACTCATATTTTTCAGAGGGGTAGGTCAACCACCAACCAGTATATATCAAGTATAAATCACAGCTAGTCAATTTAGTCATCAACTTACCTCTCGGTTGGGTGGCCCTTTTGTGGAATTTTTGGGCCCGGGGCCATTCTGTCCAATTGATTGGGGAAAGACCGTTCCCATACGCTCATCCCGTTCTGAACCAACCAATGGAATGACATGGAACGACAGAGGGGATAAGGTGACTAGCAGTGTTTTAGAATGACATATACAATATATTATAAATTAATAATAATAATAATATATATAATATATAATATTTCATATACATACAGTTGGACAGGTTTACAACAAACATCACTTCACATTGCAGAGTAGTCCTGGCAGTTCCATCGAGACAGGGGGGAGTCCTGGGCGACAGGAGATGTGTCCCGTTGGGCAGTAGTCTGCGAGCTCAGTGCTGGGGAAAACTGCCCATTCAATGAGGTAAAACCAATAAAGACTTGCATATAATATCATATAATAGTACAATATAGTACAGTTATGGCCCAACTAACACTTACTGTATATTTCTATGGGTTTATTTCATGATATATAACCTTGATTAGTTATAGGAGTTATTTCATAACAATAACTGTTAGCTGGGCCACAAGTGTAGATCGTATGTAGATTATGGAGAGGTCAATCTATGATTGATATCTGTGGATTATCCATTTATTTACATAAATGATACCCTCCAGTAAATTAACATAGACCCTGGCAGATGGGGGTTGGAAGACTAGTTTCCAAGAGAAAGTGATTGTTTTCAGGGTCTATGTTAATTTACCAGAGGGTAACTAATGAATAATCCACAGATATCTGTAATCATAGATTGACCATAACAATCAATCATAAACAATACTGATAACTCTCATTTATTTCCTATTATAAATTGACCTCTAGGAATGATAACTAATGATACAAACTGTAGATCATCTGTAATCATTCAATTTATCAATACGGGGATCATCCACAGATACACAAAAATTTGCTGGGTTGATGTGTTATGTTCATCGATTTCCCAGTGGGACATCCACGAAATCCAGCCCTTGTCCGATGTCTTGCAGTGATAAAACAAAGAATCGACTCAATATGATTCTACCCGGCCTGGTAAACGTTTACGTAGCGAACTGGAAAATCACAATTTTCTAGCTGGGTAATTCCACTATTAATTACTGGTTGGTGGTTTCAAACATGAATTTTATTTCCCATTTCATATATGGGATGTCATCCTTCCCATTGACGCACTCCATCTTTTTTCGAGATGGTTATTGCCCCACCAACCAGATTCTATTGTGTTGTAGTGGTATGTTTTTTCTTATGGTGATGATGGCAATGATTCAGGCTTATACCCAGAACTGGCATGACCATAGATATAGCATAGGAATAGTCTGAATTCGAAATAGTGAATAAGAACACAATGTTTCCCATAGAAGGAACATTTCAGTATATTTCAGTGGAAATTCGGAATACCCAGTTTTTTTCTATGGTCATACAAGGTGGTGCCCCATAGGTAGCTAAGTTGGTGCAAAGAAGTCCTATGGTCCTAGGCCCTAGGCTTTACGGAGGTTATATCGAACTAGTTAATGGGGATTATAAACCACAAACATACCTGTGGGGTACCACCTTGTACAATGTGAGGCCCCCCAGTGATGTTAGTTGGTTTAGATTCGCCCCAGTAACTAGTTCGTTTTAAGTGCCATAAAACATAGTTCTTGGAGTTATGTTCACCAATTTAGCTATCCAACGGGGGCCTCACATTGTATGAGTCATAACAATATTCTCTATGGAAACTGAACCTGGCGCTCGAGCCATCGAGCCATCGGTCTTGCCTCGGTGGTCCTAGCTGCCTGGCTCAGATGGCTACTCCGTGAACGTGGAATACCTGGCATTTCTGACATGTTGCCAAGTCGGTAAGCCCTGCAGTTATGGCCTAACTAACACTTATTTTTATGGAATGAAATAAGTCCTATATACAACTAGTTGGTTGCATTTCATGAAATACACCCATCAAAATAACTGTTAGTTGGACCATAACTGTGTTGTTTCCTTTCAGTACAGACCCCATCTTTAAGGTCTATGATAGATCCAGGGTCCTTAGGTAGTTGAGGGTATCCCTTTTGCAGGTCCTTGATTTGCTCAATCGATTTGCATTTTATTCGCAAAAAATCCCTGTTTGAGAAATCCAGTATGACTGGGGAAAGGGAATATGGGGGTTTCCTAGAATGGGTGATACCCAAAAATGGATGGTTCATAATGGAAAATCCAGCTATAAAATGGATGATTTGGGGTACCACTATTTTAGGAAACCCCATATTTTGGGGAGGTTCCTGAAGCAAATGCAAGAAGTATGATATGGATTGATATGGTATGTAACTGTTAGCATTGGGTGTCCCAAAGTTGGCAACAGTTCCGCTCTTGGGTGATTGTTCGTGCGCTGCCCACGTTTGGTAATTCCCCATTTTTTTTGTATCATCTCCCTAGAATAGACTAGATGAGACTAGACTAGATGAGACTAGACTAGATGAGACTAGACTAGATTTGATAGATAGATAGATAGATAGGTAGATAGATAGATAGATAGAAAGGAATGAAACCTGATTAGATTGGATCGGATTAGATAGGTAGGTAGATGGATAGAAAGGCATGAATAGGTATTTTTTTGTGCTAGAGTGATGTTTGCCTTTACTGTTGCTGTGGCAATTGTTTTGATCACTACTGTTGTTTATTTTTTGTTTACTTTCTTGTCTTTTAGTAGACGATTATTTGGTTCCTTGACATGTTTGCAAGATATCCTTCATGTACTGTACATGTAAATATTTACACGTATATGTAAGTACAAAAGTGTATACCGTATAATTACGTGTATGTCTATATATATATATATACTGTATACACATGTACACATGTAAATCATGTAAACACATATTCATACTCAACTTGGTTTATCTTGCCCATAGGATCCATGGTGCTGGTATATATGCTAACATGACTGGGGTATATTGATGGGATCCATGTTACCATATATATATATATATATAGCAGCACCATGGATCCGTCATGGGTTGGTAAAGCACATATCAGTCGCACTGTGGCCAGGGCCTGTTCTGCGACACCAATGAGGCAGCAATATTGAGGCGGAGATTCACGGGCGCGCTGCGCGGCGAGGTCAATATGTATCAATGGGATTATCTACTAACCATTAAATGATAAAAATCCCTGGTAAACTCATGGGAAATTAATGGGATTTTATGGTGACTTAATGGGGTTTAATGGGATTTTATGGTGGCTTAATAGGAAAACTAATGGGGTTTTATGGTGACTTAATAGGAATTAATGGGATCTTTCATGGGATTTCCTGGGATATACCCTCTGGTAAACTAAGAGTTTTCTATGGAAAATCACCATAGAAATAGTGAAATTTCCCATGAAACATGGCGGATCTTTCCATAGTGATGTGAAAGTTTACCAGAGGGTAAATCAATCATCTAACCCCTGAAACATGTTTTTTCTCCAAGCACGGTGGCTTAAACCACTGACTAAGCACGTATTTCCTTTGAATTTTGTGGGTATGGTGACAGCGGGAAACAGGTGGTTTTGTTACAGCGGATTTGCACTGGCCATGCATAGCTGGGACCGCCCAAAAACCACCGCTATACTGAGATGCTATAGCTACGCTGCACAAAATAAATCTGAACTAGTTCCGTATTCTAAATAGAAACTTAAAACATGAAAGCCTGATAGCCGGTTGGTGAAAATTTCCCTGCTCTTGGCCAGTGATTTTTCATCATTGATGAAGAATCACCGTTTCTGTCCATCCGATGGCTCATCTACAATGTGAGGCCCCCCAGCTATAAGTTGGTTTAGATTCGCCCCAGTAACTAGTTCGTTATAAGTACCATAAACCATAGTTATTGGAGTTATGTTCACCAACTTAGCTATCGAACGGGGGCCTCACATTGTATTTTTTGTTTTTGATGGTTTAAACACTTTAAACCACTACTTTTTGGGTCAAAATATGTCAACATCAACTAATTCCGAGCGCCAATCTTCCACCAATGGGTTTTGCTACCATTGACCCTCTGGTTTTGTCAAAATAGCTATTGAAAATACACCATTGAAATAGTTGATTTACCTATTCAAAATTGTGATTTTCTATGATTTTATACACTTATGTAAACGTTTACTAGAGGGTATATCCATGAAACGCTTCTCCAAATTGAGCCCCCTGACCCCATAGGATTCATGTGGTTTCGTTTGGTGACCAATGGTCAGCATCCGTAGTGTCGAGGTTTTTGACATTAGGGAGACAAAAAACATGTTGTTTTGTTTGGGGTAATTTTCAAATTATATGAATCCCACATTCTGAAATGGCATTTTTGGATACAGGGTTTCCCATGGTTTCCCTATCCCATAGGATCCATGGTGCTGGTATATATGCTCACATGACTGGGGTATATTGATGGGATCCATGCCACACCATATATAGCAGCACCATGGATCCGTCATGGGTATTGTTTTACCAGTTCTACAATGTGAGGCCCCCCAGTGATGCTAGTTGCTTTAGATTCGCCCCAGCAACTAGTTCGTTATAAGTACCATAAACCATAGTGAAATTGGAGTTATGTTCACCAACTTAGCGTTCTCGAACGGGGGCCTCACATTGTACTATTGGTTCTCATTATATTCCATTATTATCCATTATTAAAATTCAGCCAGATATATATATATATATATAGATATGCTATCCAACGGGGGCCTCACATTGTAGGTCAAAATCGCGAGATTTCCCCAGTGGAGGTTCGAAGCGCGCTTCACGGCAGTCATCATCGCTCTACCGGCGGCGTCGGTTCGATGTCCCAGATGTGGATGATCGAGTTGGCCGTGGCCACGGTAAACCTTAAGGATGGACAGTGTTAAATGATAAAAATCCCTGGTAAAGTCATGGGAATTTAATGGGATTTTATGGTGATTTCATGGGATTTCATGGGATTTCCTGGGATATACCCTCTGGTAAACTAAGAGTTTGCTATGGAAAACCACCCATTTTAAGAGGTAAACCAACTATCAATGGCCATTTTCAGCTATATTGAATTAGAGGGTAACCATAAAAAGGTGGGTTAAGGACCATGAAATTCTGGTGATTTTTTTCGTTGGTGCAAATTACAACCTGGTGGCAATGAAATATGTCAAACGGTGGAACAGTTCTGGGGAAACTTTGGTTGAGTAGGTGAAACTTATATAATTACAGTATGTTTTTGTTATTGAAGCAAACCAACCGAACCAGCTAAGACGACGTATTTGCTCAGAACATCCTTTTTGATATGCAGCAAACCAGACCAATCCCAAAAAGGATGTCGAGGCTGATTGGCAAATCCCAAAAATGGACTGCAAATTCTATCAATTGATCGGGGCAGTTTAGCAGCATGGTCAACCAATTGGATGGTTACTTTAGTACATGTTTGTTGAATAAATCAGAATATCACATGAATAGGTTATCTTAGTACTCCCATATCAGGGTATTTTAGTACAAAGTTTTTTGTTGCAGGCTATCAGAAAAAAATGGCAATGATTGCATCCATGAATCAATATGTACAACCAATTCTGTCGTTGATTGGTTGATATGGATAGTTTGTAGCAACTCGTAGCAACTCAAGCCTCGTACATGTTGACCTAGCCGGACCTACAGGTTGATTTCACTAGGCCAACCGCTAGCTTTATCGATATATATATATATATCTATATCATCAATGGGAATTAATGGTTAGTAATGCAAGGTTAATAGTGGTTAATAATGACTGGTAAAACTTTACTATCATGGTCAATGGGAATTTCAGGATCCAATTTATGGAGTAAACGTACCATATTTCTGGCCATATTTTGTGGCGATATTCCCTGAATTTTAGGCCTTATATATGGTAGGTACCTCCAATTTAGGTTCCTGAAATGACCATTGATATAATTTGATATAATTTGTGGTTAAGAACCAACTTATACCAACTTAATAAATCAATTTTATAAACCAACAGACATTTCAATGGGGGGCACCATTGAATGTCTTGACAACATGTTTGGATGTCGCACATATCATTGGCAAAAGAACTTTCATTCGGCCAACAGTTGCAGAAATTCGGCCAACTGTTGAGGAGTTGACACAACACGAATCTGAAACTGTTGAACAACCAACAGTTATTTTTATGGGTTTATTTCATGATCTATAGCCAACTAGTTATAGATAGTTATAGATGGGAGTTATTTCATTCCAGTTATAACTGTTAGTTGGGCCATAACTGAAGATTCTTACTGTTATAGATACAGTGCCGATGGCCCGTTTTGGCTTTGCAGACTTGAGCGAAAATCCCGGCACGCGAGCAGTGTCTTACAAAGAGCAACCCGAGAGGTTACGAATGGTTAGCAGAAAGGGCTCCCCAAACACTGTGTAAATTGATACAACTAGATATTTTCTGGTTCATGGTTGATATATCTACAGTTGGATGTCCTTTTCAAGCAACTTGTAGGAGCCCCTGCAGGGACCCTGATTCTTCGATGGAACATGCAACTGCAACTCTTTAGTTCTCAGGGCCTTTATTTTTGATCCTGGAAATTCCCATCTCCCGGAAATTTCTCCGTAAGATATAACTGATACAATGTGAGGCCCCCCAGTTATAAGTTGGTTTATAAGCCCCAGTAACTATAGTTATAAGTACCATAAACCATAGTTATTGGAGTTATGTTCACCAACTTAGCTATCGAACGGGGGCCTCACATTGTAGAAACTCTTATGTTTTCTAATGTGGTAAAGCCACAATTTTCATGAAAAAAACATCCCCAAGTGATCCAAGCCATCACAGAAAATCAAAAAGGTGGTATGTTTGCCATCGCCAGTGTTTTGGTAGGTTTATGGCAGGGTTGCCCACAGTAAGACATGTTTTGTGGCCCAAATTGATATGGAGGGTTCCTAAGTAACTTAAGTCCTGGGGTACCCCAAAATGGATGGTTTATTTCATGGAAAATCCCAATCTAAAGTGGATGATAACTGGGGGTACCCCTATTCTAGGAAACGGAGGGTTCCTAAGTCCCGAGGGAGTACCCCACCAAATCATTATATATAGACCAGTGAAGAGACGCCCATGGTGACTTGGGGGATCACTTGAGCAGTGAAATAAATCCCCCATTCCATGAACTACTGGTTGGTTTTTTTCGGGATTCCCCGTTCTTGGATTATCAAAAAATCACCAAAAATCCCCAATATATGAAGGGTCGATTTTCATCAACTAATCATCCCCGAACTAATCATCGACAGGGGTAGATCGCAGCCACTGATCACTTTGAGAAGCCCCCTTCAGACATATCCAAAGCTTGAACACACAGCAACCAGCGCAACCAGCCTCTTTGAGATGAAATTTCCATGGCTGCCCGTTGGTCTACTATTGGAGGCAGTTTTCGGGCCGTTTTTCAGGGATGGATTCTGGGACAAACACGATCTGAAATGTCGAAGTTCCCTAAGATGTTGGTACCCCGCTCACTGGATGGTTTATTTCATGGATCCGCTCTTAAAGCGGATGATAACTGGGGGTATCCCTATGACTTAGGAAACCCCCATATTTATCCATATTTGACTAAACCTTGAAGGGCCAGTGATCTTTTCTTGTAAATGGGAATCTAGCAACAGCCAAAACGTTTTGCAGGTGCCAAGTATATCCCTAGATTGACGCTATATCATTGGATAGGGTAAAGTTACAGGAAACCGGCAGATCCAACAGGAAAAGATGTGGTTTCCTTCCCATCCTGTAGTCTAGTCCTCGACCCATCCAATGATCAGACTGAAGCCTAGTTCCTATCCTACAGGTTGTTAGCAAGAATCACAGGCAGAGAAGAAACAGATGATACCCTCTGGCAATTTAACATAGCTATTGAAAATAGCCCATTTATAGATGAGTTTCCCATTGCTGTAAAACCTCCATTTATAATGGATTTTCCATGGCTATGTTAAATAAACAGATGATATTTGAACATGCGATCTGGAAATGAGGATACGACAACATTCAGTACAATGTGAGGCCCCCCAGTGATGTTAGTTGGTTTAGATTCGCCCCAGTAACTAGTTCGTTATAAGTACCATAGACCATAGTTATTGGAGTTATGTGCACCAACTTAGCTATCGAACGGGGGCCTCACATTGTACAAACTCTCCAAAACAAATCATGAATCATATGTCGTTAATTAATGTGCCATTCATAAAAATCGAGCGATACGGCCACTACCTGCAGAGAAGTGGAATCAGGTGGCTCAACACCGGCCCTGCACTGGTCTTTTGCTGTGACTGGGAATATGTACCATTATGATAAATTATGTACCATTACCCATTTAGCAAAACAAAGCAGTTTTTTCCCGGGTGTCAGATTGGCCATGATCGGGTTTGGAGGATCCATTTTTTCATCCAAATACCACCAAAAAAATGTGAAAAAATAGAAACAAGATGTACTAAGATGGCTTAAACATGATTAAACATCATTTTTAAGGTTACCATTTAGCTATGGTTTATGATGGTTTAAACATCATTTTTAAGGTTACGTGGAAAGTCTAGGAACACATCTTTTAGTCTCAACCAGGGTTACACCGCAGAGGTCGGAGCAGCTGCTCCTGCGGGCTTTTCCCAGAGACTTGGAGGGTGGACGTTCTTTAGCCAGCGGGCCGCGGGGGTTCAGTGGGTTGGTCTTAGAGGAAAATCATAGAGGAAGATAATGTTTTTTTTGCAGATTTGTTCATGTTTAGTTTTATTATAATTAATAGTGATTCCGTGGGGATTTAATTTAATGTTCTTTTCGGATGGTATGTTGAGGCCGATAGCATGGTGAGAATGTGATTGAACCCCCAGTCATACTGGAAAGTCACATGTTCATCTTCTTCTCATTGTCATCCTGGGAATCTATTGGAACTAGCTTCGAAGGAACACATTCACCATCCCACCATTCTACGATTTTACCGGTTCTACTGGAATCTACCATTGCTCAATCCTCTATACTTGTAGGACTACCCTCTGATTATTCAACGTCGCTATGGAACATCACCACTTTGCAAAGGTAAATATAAATGGACCATGGCTTCCATAAATCCACTGTTTATTTCCATGATATTCCCAGCTTTAAACCTCCGTTTAGTTCGGGATGTTTTTCCAGTTTGCAAACTGTAAGAAGCTCCTGGAGGGTACTGGTTCCCTATTATCTCCCACAATATACACCCGTTTTGATGGTTACATCACCAGTTTTGATGGTAAATTACCCTAGGGATCTCTAGGGTCAATCATTGCAAATCCATCAGCTGTATTAGTGGATATGATTTTGATGTCAGCATAAATTATATTGTTACTATGTTTGGACATGATTGCTGGATACCATCGTTTAATTGTTGATATTAATCGTTGGTATAACATTGTTTTAATTAATATTTATTTGATATTCCAGTGATTATCTAATTGTAATATCATTGGTAATGTTTCTTATGATATTAACAAACCCATGGATTTATATCATCATGATAAATGTATCTACCCTCTGGTAAACTAACATAGCTATGGAAAATGGCCATTTGGAGTGAGTTTTCCCATTTAAAATGGTGGATCTGTCCATGGTAAATACCCATTAGATCCCATTAAATCCCATTAAGTCACCATTAACTACCATTAAATCCCATTAAATCCGATTAAATCCCATTAAGTCACCATAAACTACCATTAAATACCATTAAGTCACCATAAACTACCATTAAATCCCATTAAGTTACCCCATGTTTGTTGTTTACAAATCCATCCCAACATTACTTCCATCCGGCCGAGGAGTGCTTTGGGATCCTTCCTGGAACAAAGTTATGGCGCAGCCTTTGGAGTCCTGCTGGGCGTAGGTCACCCGTAGGTCCGTGGCGATTTTTTTTCATCAAATATTGAGATTCAACTAGGAAAATGGGGATCAGAAGTGATAGTGAAGAAATGACTGGTTGATGGTTTGGAACATGAAAATGTTTGGTGTATGGGATGGTTTGTGGCATTTTTTTGTGAATCCCACATTATCTGGTTGGTGGTTTGGAACATGAATTTTACTTTTCCTTATATTGGGAATGTCATAATCCCAACTGACGAACTCCATCATTTTTCAGAGGGGTTGAAACCACCAACCAGATGATGTTAGGGTGTTGGTTGATTTTGCCATGATATTGCCATGATATGCATATTTTCTTCTTTGGATGCAGTTGGTTCATTGGACCTACTGGATTTGTCCAAACATGGTGGATATGCCTTTTTTTTGGCAAATTCAATGGGGAACATGATGTGCTAAACCCGTGGTTCCCCATGCTTGGTCAAGCTCATAGTGATATATAGTAATTGTATCGTATAGTATTGATGATTTTGATAATGATCATATATGATAATCACATATACACATTCTGCACATATACATTGGCAGATTTAAGCAATGGCTCAAGCCCTTTTATCATTTGTTTGAAGAAAGCATTGGTTACTCAGTGTTCATTGTCGCACAATGTCGCAGTGATGCTATTGTAACATGAGGATGCAAACCCATGAGGCATCTAGCATGGTGCTATTCCTCTTTCGTCAAGAAGCGAAGTGCCAGGTTCCTCTTTCGGCTTCCCACTAATCCTTTTGTTCCTTTGGTGGACAAACCTGGTATTTGTCTCGACGTTGCTGCAGAATGGGAGCAGACCAAGTGAAGCAAACATGCAAGGAATGCAGTTGATAAAGTGTGATTGTTCGGTTCTTGTGGGACAGACTTTCAACGTCTGATGATGTTCAGTTTCACTTAAAATTCTAAAATTCTAACAGTGTTTTTTGTTGTTAAGGTTTGATGTTTAGAATGAACCTTATTTCTAGCAGTGGAATAGACTTTCCAAACGACATGGCTGATCTCTATGCGAAAGTGATACCCTGCGTCTGCGTTTTGATCACCGGGGAGAGCAAAACCCGAGGTTGGCATTGGTAAGCTAACAGGTCGCGCCGCCCTTGGGCAACTGGTGTTTTTTGGCGCCTTTTGTTCTTTGCGCCTTGTGCTCTTTTGTTCTTGCGCCATTATCAGCGAGCTTTGCAAGCTTTGGCCAATTGTTTGAGAAAGTGCAATGGAACATTCCCCGGCACATGCATTAAAGTTGTCTAAACAGAAGTATATGTGTATATGTAGATTATATATGTTATTTTTTAACATGTTATATATATATATATACTCGTGATATATATATATATACACTCGTGATATATATATATATATATATATGCGTGTGTGCGCACGTAAGTGAGAAATATATGTATGTGCAAAAATATAAACAAGATGATATGCACATTTGTATGTATATAATAATGACAATAAATGTATATGTATGCACATGTTTATTTACAGATATGTATCTAAATGCGATTTTCATTGTGTAATATTGTGTGTATATATATATATATAACCCAGGCAACCCCGAAGTTCACGAAGCATACATGACATGAGCAAACATGACGTGAGCAAGTTCACAGGGACGTTAACATCCGCCCCCACCCCACCCAAACCCCGAAGTTCACGAAGCATACATGATATGAGCAAGTTCACAGGGACGTTAAGATCCCCCCCACCCCCAACCCTAAAAAAAACAAAAAAAGGGGTTTCGTGACCAGTTGCCTGGGGGCGGCACTAGGAACTAACATAGCTATGGAAAACCGCCATTTTCAGCAGGCAAATCAACTATAAATGGCCATTTTCAATAGCCATGTTAAATTACCAGAGGGTAAACCGCTCAGCTTTTTATGGAATATCCCCGAGTTATGTTTGTTGGCTTATAACCTCTACTAGTTCGATATACCTAGCATAAACCCAATCATTATCTTAGTTATCAATTATCAATCAACTTGGCGAACACTTACGGGGTTCCAGATAACCAAAAATAAGATATAGAAATCATTTAATGTGGTTAAAACAATGCCATAAACTACCCATTTGGGAATGGTTTATACCACCTATGGTGATTTGGTGGATGGTCTATTATTGTTTTAATCACATTATTTACGAGCTTCTATCTTCTTGGGGGCTACTGCAGGAAAACAGGGTCAAATGTATGGCAAACACATAAATCACATAGAATTCACCAACATATCAACATACCCAATCAAGGATGACCCAACTACTTAGCTTGATTATTTATGGGGTTGCTACAAAGGTGATGCCGTCCAGTGAAACGTGTGTTGGCTTAATTTCACCCCAAGAACTAGAGATACATTTGCCATAAGTCATAGTCCCTTTGTTATAACCCAACTTAGCTACCTGGGGGGCTTCACCTTGTACATAACACACGCACATATATATATATATATATACAATGTATAACAATATATATATATATGTATATATATATATATGTATATATATATACAATATATATATATATATATAAATATTTATCTATATATACAATATATATATATAAATATTTATCTATATATATATATGCACATGTGTACTACTGTAATATATAGTATTTATATTTATATATATATATATATACATAATACCGTATATACCTACATACAGTTACATACAGACCACAGATCATCCCAACAGCGGTAGGCGATGGCACCCGAGCCAAAGAATTGCTGGGTGCATGGCCGCAGCTCGAATTGTTGGATTTCCCGGTGGGGCTGGTGATATTCTGGGATCTATGGGAAAAATATGGGATATGGATAAAATATGGGATAATATGGGAAATATATGGGATATTACGAATAAAAACATGGGTCAACCAACTGGAGATGTGTTTTCTGAATCAAGTTCAACTTAAGTCGTGGAAAGTGGGAACCTTTGCGAGGTTCTGTGGTTGTTTCAATCCGGACATCGAGGCATGGCGTTCTATTCCTGGTTGATCCATTTATTCACTTGCGAAGGGGCTATGATCGGCCAGAGAAGCTCGGACTGGTGATTGGAAATAAATATGTATATATATGTATTATATTTAATAAGTATAATATATATATATATTTATATTTATTTATATACGTATATATATATATAAATGTATGTATATATATATATATGTACGTGTGTATATATATATATTTATTTATACGTATACGTATTTATTTATATTTTTGACGTATATATCATACATATATATATATTATATACGTATAAATATATATATATATATTGTAATAAAAGTATTGTATATCATTTAAAACACCCTTTTTTATTATATTTCGGAATCGCTCGAGGGTGGTGACTGGACCAGGACTTGGTCATGGTGATCCTGGCATGATCACGACCCCCCTTTTCAAAGGTGACGGGGTTTGCACGTCCAGGAAGCAAAACCGCGGAGATTCTGTAGTGGTATAGCCCCTGGTAATTTAACTAGTTAGTAGTGGTTAGCAATGGTGACTTTTCATGGGATCTTTCATGGGATTTATTGGGATATATCATCTGGTAAACGAACGGTTTGCTAATGGCCCATTGAAATAGTTGATTTACCTATTAAAAGTTGTGCCTTTCCATAGTATGTTAGCTTACCAAAGGGTAAATCCAGCAATGAAGGGCAGGAAAATTCTGCGGGATTTCAGTCAAGCTTTATCTGAGAATTTGTGCGAAACCAGACGATTGTGCAGAGGAGTTGATTGGGGTCATTTTGGCCGACACTGTAAACTCGAACATGGCAGAAAAAAGGAACATGTCACTCGGTAAAGTGATGTCAATGCACATGGAGAAGAACTGTTGTCCAACTGGCAGTTTCAAAGACTGTGTCGATATTCATCCAGTAAACATGACTTGTAACAACTGCATGGAAAATCGTTTGCCATCCGATTCCACAGTTATGGCCCAACTAACAGTAATAAATGGGTTTATAATGATATATATATATATACATCACCTGAGCTATATGACTTATAATTCCATTTATAGCTGTTAAGGGCCATAACTGCAATGGTTTTTTCTGGCATGGGCTGAACTCAGGAATGTCGATGATGCTACGCATCAAAGGAACTACGATAACCTGAGCAACTTGCGCCGAGATTGTTTGCCAACCAATTTTAATGAAGTCATAAAATAAAAAAAAGTTGTGGTACTATATATATATATATAGACTCAAAATATGTAAATTAATATATATATATATATATATATATGTGTATTTTATAGCAATGCTCAAAAATATAGAACTTGGAAACATCCCAACAAAATTGTGTTAATTAATATATCTACATTTTTGTTTGGGCTGTCTATGCAAATATATGGGTGTTACAAGTCATGCTTTGCTTCATCTATGTAACACCTCCTCACATAGCAAATATGGTATCCTAGAGATTCAGTCTGGTAACAGACTCGCGTCAGCGGGAGGCACTTGAGGTTACAAATGGCTATAACCATGGTTGTAAACCCCAATAAGTTGGGATATAGCCCCCATAACTATGGTTACTTAATGTTATATATCCGCTTATTACAGAAACTGCACTTCCAAGAAGACCATCTTGTTGTTTGGTGGGTGTTTGAGAGTAGTCATATGGGATTTCCTGCGGATTCTTGCAGGGATTTGCAATTTAGATCTGGACTGATATCGACAATATCCTCAAGTAATTGATTTACTGTTCATTCGGAAGTGGTTCAAATTGCTTCACCCCTAAAATTCATCCAAAATGGAAGGTTTCATCGAGCAAATGAGTACAGATTTGGCTTTCTGACAGTTTCTGAGATGTGGACTAGCGGCTTGAAGCTTGTACCTTTGGAAAAGAGGATATTGGAACATAGAAAACAAATACCTTCCAGTAAACCAACATGACGTGGTAATGGAAAATTCTATCTTCATTTCCGCGCATCCTTTTTATTCATAAAGATAGTAATTAAATGGGAACTTGATACTCTAAACAGCAGGGATGTAAAGATTTTCCGTTCAATCAAGTCCAGATGGTGGCAGAGATCCACCATGCTATTTCCAATGAGTCGCGCCACGGTAAGGAAGCAATTTGCACGACAAGGCGAGCGTGCAGGGCAGATATTCCTTTGTGACACTTGGCCATGCTACCAGATTACCTTCTCAGCGATGGTGGACCCAATTTCAGAGTGAGAACCTATGAAAATCTAGGTATCAACCACTTATCCAACCACATATCCAGTGGTGATGAATCAACCTGGTTGATAACCTGTTATATCCCATTCTACAACCAGTGTTTGGATGATATATCCAACATATCACTGGCTTGTTATATGCTTATTACCAACAAAATCCATTCCTGGGAGATTGATATCCACATCCAAGTTGACCCTCAAGGTACCATGAGAATAGGAAAAAACACAAATCATTCCTTTACTGGGTTAATAATTGTTGATAATGGTTAATAATGGTTAATTATGGTTAATGATGGTTAATAATTCGGTTGATGAGGGTCTAGGTTTTACTTACTTGTGCTTAGTAGGGGATGAGGGAATGATCCACAAAAACTATCAATAATCATCCCAGCAACCCCCAATTCCCATCCATTCCCTACTAAGCACCAGTAAGTTTAGTCATGTTCTTGGCAAAAACAAGCTGACACCAATTTTGGATAAGTGAGTGCTTGCGTGCGGTTCAATCATCTCTTGAGTTTTCATTCCTTTCCGGGGAAGATTTTCCCACTTCAACAGTCACTAATAATTGTAATGAGGCAAACCCAGTGACAAAAACGTTGATCCCTAATAGGGTTTTTTTATTGGGATTTATTCCTATTTTGGGATGGTTTAAAGGGACCCCCGAATGGTTGGTTACTGGGATGGTTGGTCATTGTGTTTACCTCATAATGTTTGAAGGTGTGCATCTTCCACCCGATGCCTTGTTTCAGCAGCTGGCTCATGCTGTATCGACCAGGGGGAAAGAAGGTATTGGCAATTCCATGTTAGTCCCCATGTTCCATTCCATGGTTTATATGGTATAGTCTTCATGTTGGTTGATGAAATCCAATTCTGTTGCTAAACTTTTAAAGAATATTAGATGTTGGTTGATCATATAAATCCCCTTCTGTTGCTAAACTTATAGATAACTCTATCATATCCTTAGTTGAGTGGGGGACTCACTTGTTGGTTCATCAAACACGACGAGCCTCAGGAGGGAATTTTCTTTTTCGGTTCCGAAGATCTGGGTCGAAAAGAGCTGGGGCCCCCTGGCTTCGGATTCCTTCGGATGGGTCGCAGCTGGGAAGATACAGATTTCGCCACCCCAAAAAAATTACTTTACTTTGAGTGATCCCCACCGTGCAAATTATTGTCATAGTTTCTGACATCTCATCTGGAAGTATCTATAGTTATATAGCATATATTTTCTGACATTCTACCATATCCTACCTGACATTTTATTCTGACATTTTATTCTGGCATTCTGTTTGGCATCTATTCTGACTCTCTCTCTCTCTCTCTGACATGGGCACTGCCAGACCTCAACCGCGAGCGCCAGATCTCAGTGGGCACTGCTGGACCTCAACTGCAAGCTCCAGATCTCAGTGGGCACTGCCGGACCTCAGCCGCGGTTGAGGTCCAGCAGTACCCACTGAGATCTGGAGCTCGTGGTTGGAAGGAAGGGAACAAAGAGCCGAAAAGCTGGAAACCTGGAAAAGATGGGGAAAACATCGAAGCTTTTCCATTTCGGGGTTACTAAAGGTATGTTTTGAGTTTGAGCAAACACATGACATTGTTTGGGCACTAGTAGATTCTTTCATGGATGTTTGATTTTGTAGCTGCGTGGTAGACTTAACCAAATATTCATATATGTGCTAGCTTTCTGGTGGGTGCTAGGCGATGCTGCTGCTGCTGATGATGATGATGATGATGAATATGATGAATATGATGATGGTGATGATGATGATGATGATGATGACGATGACGATGACGATGACGATGATGATGATGATGATGATGATGATGATGAATAAGAAAAATAAAAAAGGAAATGGTGATGATGATGATGATGATGCTTGTCAGCCCTTTACCCCTAAACCTGAATGCATAGAACATATAAACCCTAATGGCATCATTGCACGGTTAGACATCTAGAACATGTTTGCTAATTGTTATGCTACCATGCCTTTTCCAGCAAAAAGGCAACCCTCCAAAAGAAGTACATATGTATGGGTCAAAAATAATGATACTGGTTGGGAACCACAAATAAAATGTTTGGACACCCCCATCCCCAAATCGACTGGTGGATCGTTTTTTCTCATTAAAAACTCCATAATTTGGGGTATACACCATTTTCAGAGATACCCAGTAGGTTCATAATGTTCATATATAGGCATCATATAGGTCCATTAAACGCCATTAAACGCCATTAAACACCACCAACCCCTATGAATTCCCATTCAATCCCATTAAACCCATCTTAAACCCCATTAAACCATCATTCAACACCACGAACCCATTAAACCGCAGCACCGTTCATGGCGCATCAGATCAACCGCAAGGTCCGCAGCCCATGATGGTCTTCCACGACGCCAACCCCTCCTACGGAGCGGTGCCTCGACCATGGGATCAGTCGGGTCACCTGTTGTGAAATCCCTAGGCAAATCAATCAATGGGAATTTCAGGATCCTAAAATGGAGGTACGTTAGTACCATATAAGGGCATATTTTGTGGGGATATTCCCTTACATAAGCCTGATATAGGCCTTATATATGGTAGGTACCTCCAATCTAGGATCCTGAAATGGCCATTGGAATGAACAGAAAATCTCAACCGAAATGATCTGTTTTCGAGGGATTACAATGGATTTTAATGGAATATCATCGGGATTATAGTGTGATTTGCTGAGGGAGTGATTGTTGGTTTGTGTTCCCAAAGGGAAATCCACCATACATGGGGAATCTATAGGGAATGTTTTTTTTGGGAGCCCCTTGAGCAAAACCAAGTTTAATGGAAGCAGGTATCCAGAAGTTATAATGGAAGCAGTTCGGAACTTTGGTATCCATATTCCCCACCAAAAATAGGCGGCCAGTTGGAGCGACGCATTGAGTCATTGAGTTTCCCAACCACATGATAGATTGGGTTACTCAATTGGGAGTTCTGTGGATATAGTACAAGATAGTACACCTTTCTGCTCCATGTACGGCACTATCTATCTGCATTTAAATGAGTTTTGGGGGTACAGTACATGTTCGTAAATATTCCATAAATGGATCATTTAGGATATCCATAGTTGGAAGAGTCAAAACAAACCAGCTTACAGTTGAGACTTGTACTTTCCAACAAAAGACTACAATATTCGACTATAGCACCGCCTCAGGTACGTGGTCGTGCTCAGGTTTCAGTCTTTATTGTTCTATTTTGACTATATAACTCAGATTTGCTCTCATATAGCACATCCTCCAGTAACCTAAGAATTCGCCAGATGGGAAAGCGTCGCAACATTTTCAGTCTTCAAAAACATGAAATTCATGTAAGTTCATGGTATATTACATCCTGCAGTCTATGTAGAATCCCATCAGATCATTTTCCATGGCAACTTTTGGTCGCCAGACGCCAGACCGGTGGCCCAGGTGCGGATGGATCTCTTGGAATGGTGGCCACTGCTGTCGGAGGGTGGCACCTTTTGCGGTGCCAACTACTCCACAGAAGGCGGCTGGGAGATTTTGTGAAGGTGGTAGGTTTGTTGGCCATAAAACAGTTATAATATGTATATATATATATACACACTAGGTCAACCTTGGATGGCTACTTTAATCTTTTAATCTGTTGCTATCAATGGGAATATCCACTAACCAGCAAAATAATAGTTTTTTTTGGCCAGGTATCTAAGCTTGGCAATGTTTTTGGGTTTATTTCGTGATATATAATCAACTAGTTATAGATAGTTATAGGATTCAGTTCATTCCATTAAAAAAAAAACTGTTACTTGGGCCATAACTGTAGCTTTGTTGACAACTTTAACCTGGTTGGTGGTTTGGATCATTTTTAATTTTTTCCAGAATATATGGGAGAATCCTTCCCATTGACGAACTCCATCATTTTTCGAGATGGTTACCCTCTGGTAAACTCACATAACTATGGAAAATCACCATTTTTAATGGGAAAACTCACAATAAATTGCCATTTTCCCTAGCTTTTTGTATGTTTACCAAGCAGTAACGGTGCACGTTCCTTTGCAACTCAACGGGTTTTCGCCTTGCCGATCTGGGGATCCACTGGAGATGAAAATGGCGAGTTTGGTGGGATGGAATCAATCCATAGATGGGTATTTAACCACTAAACATGGGGCTACTTCATGGGATTTAATGGGAGTTTATGGTGACTTAATGGGATTTAATGTGAGTTTATGGTGACTTCATGGGATTTAATGGGAGTTTATGGTGACTTAATGGGATTTAATGTGAGTTTATGGTGACTTCATGGGATTTAATGGGAGTTTATGGTGACCTCATGGGATTTAATGAGAGTTTATGGTGACTTAATGGGAGTTAATGGGAGTTTATGGTGACTTCATGGGATTTAATGGGAGTTTATGGTGACTTCATGGGAGTTAATGGGAGTTTATGGTGACTTAATGGGATTTAATGGGAGTTCCTGGTGACTTCATGGGATTTAATGGGAGTTTATGGTGACTTCATGGGATTTAATGGGATTTTATGGTGACTTAATGGGATTTAATGTGAGTTTATGGTGACTTCATGTGATTTAATGGGAGCTTATGGTGACTTCATGGGATTTAGTGGGAGTTTATGGTGACTTAATGGGATTTAATGGGAGTTCCTGGTGACTTCATGGGATTTAATGGGAGTTTATGGTGACTTAATGGAATTTAATGGGAGTTCCTGGTGACTTAATGGGATTTAATGGGAGTTTATGGTGACTTAATGGGATTTAATGGGAGTTTATGGTGACTTCATGGGATTTAATGTGAGTTTATGGTGGCTTCATGGGGTTTAATGGGATTTTATGGTGACTTAATGGGATTCAATGGGAGTTTATGGTGACTTCATGGGATTTAATGGGAGTTTATGGTGACTCAATGGGATTTAATGTGAGTTTATGGTGGCTTCATGGGATTTGATGGGATTTTATGGTGACTTAATGGGATTTAATTGGATTTTATGGTGACTTAATGGGATTTAATGGGAGTTTATGGTGACTTCATGGGATTTAGTGGGAGTTTATGGTGACTTAATGGGATTTAATGGGATTTTATGGTGACTTCATGGGATTTAATGGAGGTTTATGGTGACTTCATGTGATTTAATGGGAGCTTATGGTGACTTCATGGGATTTAGTGGGAGTTTATGGTGACTTAATGGGATTTAATGGGAGTTCCTGGTGACTTCATGGGATTTAATATGGTGACTTAATGGGATTTAATGTGATTTTATGGTGACTTAATTGGATTTAATGTGGGTTTATGGTGACTTCATGGGATTTAATGGAAGTTTATGGTGACTTAATGGGATTTAATGGGAGTTTATGGTGGCTTAATGAGATTTAATGTGGGTTTATGGTGGCTTCAGGTGATTTAAGGGGATTTAGTGGGATTTTATGGTGACTTCATGGGATTTAATGGGAGTTTGTGGTGACTTCATGGGATTTTATGGTGACTTAATGGGATTTAATGTGAGTTTATGGTGACTTCATGTGATTTAATGGGAGCTTATGGTGACTTCATGGGATTTAATGGGAGTTTATGGTGACTTCATGGGAGTTAATGGGAGTTTATGGTGACTTAATGGGATTTAATGGGAGTTTCTGGTGACTTCATGGGATTTAATGGGAGTTTATGGTGACTTCATGGGATTTAATGGGATTTTATGGTGACTTCATGGGATTTAATGGGAGTTTATGGTGACTTCATGTGATTTAATGGGAGCTTATGGTGACTTCATGGGATTTAGCGGGAGTTTATGGTGACTTAATGGGATTTAATGGGAGTTCCTGGTGACTTCATGGGATTTAATGGGAGTTTATGGTGACTTAATGGAATTTAATGGGAGTTCCTGGTGACTTAATGGGATTTAATGGGAGTTTATGGTGACTTAATGGGATTTAACGGGATTTTATGGTGACTTCATGGGATTTAATGGGAGTTTATGGTGGCTTAATGGGATTTCATGTGAGTTTATGGTGGCTTCAGGTGATTTAATGGGATTTAGTGGGATTTTATGGTGACTTAATGGGATTTAATGGGAGTTTATGTTGACTTCATGGGATTTAATGGGATTTTATGGTGACTTAATGGGATTTAATGGGAGTTTATGGTGGCTTCATGGGATTTAATGGGATCTGATAGGTAGTTACCTTATGGTAAATGTTTTCATAACTAACTGGAAAATCAACATTGTTTGTAAATAGATCAACTATTTCTATGTGACATTTTCAATAGCTATGTTAGTTTACCAGAGGGTAATGTGGTTAAAACAATAATACACCACCCTTTTGGGAATGTTTAATACCACCTATTTATGGCGATTTGGGGGACGGTTTATTATTGTTTTAACCACATTATAGATAATTTAGCGGGAGATCAAACGGATGAAAAAACGTTCGCAAGTGGTTTGCCAGATTTTCTTCCCTTCATGTGCCTTGTGTCATGCTGCTACCTGTTGGGAATTATGGCAATAGTTTCGTTTCCAAGACGTCAAATGGATACCCTCCGGCAGTCAAACGTGGCAATATTTGGAAAATTCTAGATAGATGGAGTTTTAATGAAACAATAATCGATAAATGGTGGATTTTCCATGTTTGACAAGACGGCTACTTTCCACTTCCAAATTTGATGATTTGATGGATTTTCTGTGTCAGATGTCGCCACAGATTTTCCATCCTTTGATCCATCCTTTCGGATCCGCGAAGGGATCTTGGCTTCGTTTGCAATATGAAATTTTTAGGAATATCTTGGGCCTGCAATGGCCTAGAAAATCAAAAATAATTAGCTTGTCATTGTCATGTTTTGGTTTTGTCATTCAGGTTTGTCAGTTAATAATTAAGTTCAATGCCCGAACAGGTTTTACCGGGTTCCAGTACAGCCTATCAGTCCGTTTTTTACATTGAATGATAAAAAATGTTAAAACGTATCAATGGTAAATCTCCCATTTATAGTTTTTTCCATGAAAAACATCAATTGATGGGGGACTTCCCAGCCATGTTTGATGGCCGAAGGCTAAATGTTGTTGCCAAGTTTCATGCAATGTGTGGGCATATTTCCAGATTTGTCGTTATCTTCATTATATATTAATTGTCTCCACTGTGAATGAGCACGTCATGTGTATATATATATATACACTATTAAATACAATTGTAGTATATATATATCATATATATATATGATATATATATATATATCATATTATGTATTTTGTATTCATCGATATTTGTATCTAAAATTTGTATCTACCTTGGACCTTGACCCTCTAAAAATGAGTGAACTCGCATCAAGATTTTGATGTATTTTGATCCATGCTCGGGAAGATCTTGAATGTTGCTAAAAGCAAAGACTTATATTTCAATCTTTACAAGGGAGAATTACCCTCTGGTGATTTGTTACATAGCTATTGAAAATGGCCCATTTATAGTTGATTTACCTATTAAAGATGGTGATTTTCTATAGTTAGTTATGTAAACGTTTACCAGAGGGTAAATCCTAGCGCTTTAAAGTTGAACATAGACGACCTCCCCACATGCAGATCATGCAGCACACAGGTGATGGCTCAGTGGTTGGAGTCAAATTGGCAGTGGATGAGTTTGCAGCTAGTCTCCTGGCGCCAAGGGAAACATGTCAGGAAATGTGAGGATGTTTGTTGGGGAAAACATATGGGAACATATGGATAAAAGAAATGGGATACTTACAAGCTGGGGCCCCCGTTCGATAGCTAAGTTGGTTTATAGTTAGTCGAATTCTATGGTTTATGGTAGGTATAATTATACTTTTTAGGGGGTTTATAAACCAACAAACCTAACGTTGGCCCCACATTGCCGGGAAGCAGATTGGTGACATCCGGGGCCTGGGAATCTATAGGGAATATGATACCCTCCAGAAAATTAACAGTTCGAGCCTCTGGTAATTTAACTAGTTAGTAGTGGTTAGTAATGGTGACTTTTCATGGGATCTTTCATGGGATTTATTGGGATATACCATCTAGTAAACTAACGGTTTGCTATTGAAAATGGCCATAGAAATAGTGGATTTTCCCATTGAACATGGTGATTTTCCATAGTTTTTTTGTATGTTTATATACCAGAGGGTAGACCCTAGGTCAATCTTGGAAAACATTGGGAAAATGGGAAAACATTGGAAACATTTGGGAAAATACTAGGTCAATCTTAGATGGATACAAACTAATCCTAACTAGTCTTTTGGTATCAATGGGATTATCTACTAACCAGCAAAGAATTCAACTTTTTGCCGGGTATCTAAGATTGGCAATGCCAATGAATACCCTCCAGTAAACTCACATACCATCCAGTAATCAAACGTGGCAAATTGATAACCACCCGAGAAATGAGGCAATTGAAAATCAGAAATGAAGGTGTCTAGCTGGGGAAATCATGAAACCAACTGGTGGATTTTCGATGCTAGCTATGTTTGACACCGGAGATATCGAGAATCCACCTTGGATCGAGATCATTTCCTTGAGGGCATAGATTCTGCTTGATGCAATGCCAAGGCGCTGGTCTTACGGTCTTCGTGACGGAGGAAGAGACCGAACCGATGTGGATTCTGCAGAAGCCCAGATGATGAGCAGCGGACAAAAAACTGGGTGTTGAGGGCTGGGTTGGCTGCATTTTTCGCCTGAAACTCGATTATTTTTGTCGCCTTTTTTTCGAACAAATCCTAAAATGAACCATAAGAATTGGTGCAAAACGACGCCAAGAGTTTGGGGTAGACGCCTAGCTTATGCCCTTGTCGAGGGTCTAGTTGGTCATTGGGTTATTAACCCAAACAGAACTGAGATTGTTTATGGAATGTACCGCAAGTACCCTCTGGTAATGTAACGTAGCTATTGAAAATGGCCATAGTTAAATAGTTGATTTAGCCATTAACAGTGCTGATTTTCCAGTTCGCAAACTGTTAGCTTACCAGAGGGTAATTAGTGGAAAAACGACATATAATATCATATACTGGTTGGTGGTTTGGAACTTTTTTTTGTTTTTCCATATATGGCCAATTTCATCATCCCAACTGACTAATATTTTTCAGAGGGGTTGTTTTACCACCAACCAGAGAATATATATATATATATATCCCAGTAAATCCCATCAAAGATCCTATGAAGATTCCCATTAAGTCACAATAAACCCCCATGGAAAATCCCATGGAAATGTACCCCCTTTTTTTGTTGGTGAGATACATTACCTCCGGGATCATCAGGGAGGGAATCCGATGGATCTTTGTCTCCAGCAATTTCTCCTATTTATAGATATTTTTTTGGTGGTGTTCCCGAAAAAAACTCCCATCCAGTCATAAGGGATTTCCCAGATGTTCCTATGATTTTTCCATATGCTCCCGTTGTTTAGTGCGCGGATTTTGCAAACCGCCACGTTTGACGTTGGGGTTTGATCTGGTTGACCGTTATGGATGCTGTTGGTCATGGTGGTGCATCATGGGGAGTGAAACCAAAAAAACAGGTTCTGGTAATCACTGTTTTTTTGTTGATAATTACTTACCTTCTGGTAGTTTAACATTGGAGTATATCATTGGAGTGAATGATACCTACCTTCTGGTAATCAAACATGACTAACATTGCAAAAGATAATTCCATGGACAATTCCTCATTGAGTTCGAGGATGTTCCACGCTGACCGCTGCTGACCTGAGCCCATCATATCCCATCGGCCCAGTTGCTGCTCATCTTGGTGACCACCCGCACACGGAAGCATGAGTCCGGAGACTCGGAGACTCGGAGATGATGCAACAAAAACATACCAACAAAAAGAAGCCTTAGCAAGTTGTAGTCCGTTTTTTGAGATTTTTCATAGTGGTTAGATTTTTTTCCGTAGTGCCAGTGTATTTGAATTACGTTTAGATGGATGTGTATCATGATTGTTTGTAATAAGTAATAAGCATATATGAAGTCTAACCACCTCACTGCGAGGTCACTGGAATGATGGTTAAGAATGGTAACTACCCCAAAATGGCGGAACTTTTCGGTTTGGTGAATACATGTTTAATATAATATAATATAATATAATATAATATAATATATATATATATATTATATGTACACACACATGTTACATAACATACACATATCCATGTTCATTTGCTGGGAGAAAGCCTTGGAAGCTTGCTGCTCCTTGCGAAACGGCCTGCACAGCCAGGCCCACAATGGAAGCCTTGGCCTTTGTGACTGCAGGACTGGTTGCGCACGTTGGAAGGGTTGGTCCCTGTTCATGTTGGCTGATTATACCAACCAAATCCAACCAATATCTTGGATCATCAACCAACCAGTACAATGAAACGGCAAGTTTTTTTCACTTGTTGATGTGAATTTTGTGAGCAAGAATTGGCTTGGCTTAACGGCATAGCTAGCCAAGAATGGTTGGATTCAAGACATTTAAGTGACATTTAACCAACGCAACTACTAGCCGAACAAATGCTGTATGTTACAAGTTGAACCAAGAATATGCTTGGATTTAAGCAAAATTTGCATGAGACCACAATGGGGATGATTGAACCCGCCCCATGGTGCTGGACTATACTGTGGATGGAAGAAATCCTGCACCGATTGGTAGTTGGTTTATCTCGTTAAAATTCCATTATTTACAGTGTTTCATAGTTACTTTATAGTTACCAACTGGTGCAGGATTTCTTCCATCCACAGTATGTTGCTGTAAATGGGGATTTGTATATCTACATGTATTCTAATTGTACATATTATATATATATATATTTATTTACCTACCACCTAACAAATTAACTATTGGTATCCAAGATTGGTACTGAATAGAGAAGCTGAATTCTCTGAAGCGTCAGGGTTCCCAGTCCCAAAGCTGTAGCAGAGACAACTGGCTGGATAGGTAGTTCAATCCTTTAATTTTTTGCTATAATGGAACATAGCTGGTTGTTGGTTTGGAACATGAATTTTATTTGTCCATATATTTGGAATAGTAATCCCAACTGACGAAGTCATATTTTTTCAGAGAGGTAGGTCAACCACCAACCAGAGAATATATATATATATATCTCCTAGTAAATCCCATAAAAGATCCCATGAAAATTACCATTAAGTCACCATAAACTCCCATGGAAAATCCCATGTTTGTACCCCCTTGTTTGTGAATCTTGAGACCCCATGTTGAATCATTAACCACTATTAACAATCATTAACCATCATTAATGATCCCTTTTTAATATAGGTAAACCATGTTTGACCATGTTTGTTTCTGTGCACTACCAAAGATTGACCATGTTTGATGTCGCAGTGGATCCAGCATTCGTTGAGCCCCAGGATTCAAGGATGGACAGCGCTGGTGGTGCGTCATGTTGCTACACCGGCGGGCTTTTTGTGAAGGTTGTTGGTACTGGAAAGCGTGCGTTTTGCAATGAGGAAACATCATGTATATCTGCATATAGCTATCTAGCTATGTAGCTATCCATCGATGGATCTATCCATCTATCCATCTATCCATCTATCCATCGATGGATCTATGGATCTATGGATCTATGGATCTACCTACCTACCCATCTATCTACCTATCTACCTATCTATCTACCTACCTATCTATCTAGAATCTATCTACCTACCTATCTATCTACCTATGTATCTATCTAAATCTAATCTAATCTAATCCAAATCTAATCTAAATCTAATCTATATTTCTATCTCTATCTATATCTCTATATATATATATATCTATCTATCTTTATCTCTATCTATATCTATGTCTATATCTATATCTATATCTATCTGTCTTTCTGTCTATCTATCTTTCTATCTTCGATTGCCAGACAGACAGCCAGATAGACTGTCAGTTTGTGGGGATCACTGAAGGTAATTGATTCATCGCCATTCCAACCTGCTTAGCCAGTGCCAAGTGGACGCCAGGGAAGGACGCTTAGCCTTGGTTTTCTTCTTGATGACGGTCTTAGAGGCTTCGTCAGGACCTCAGTGTGTTTCTTTGGGGAAACCGAACCGGAGGTGAGATTGGATAATTGCATATAAGTATGGGATGTTATTTTGTAAAGAAACAACTGCATGATCATATTTATTTCCATTTTTTGTTAGTAAGAAATGATAATGACAATGTGGATTTTGTTTGCAACTCATGGATATTTTATGTTTTGTTTTTTTTTAATCTAGTGGGAGTTAATGGGAATTAAATGGAACTAATGAAGGTTTCCCAAAGAGGGGTACCCCCAAATCATCCAAGTCATTAGACCATTTTGTGTTGAAACTCATGGTTTTGGGGATGCCCGGATGCCCCATTTTAAGAACCACCCTTTTTTATCCTCCGGTAATCACGCGTGTCAATGGAAAACTCCCCAGAAATGGAGGTTTTATGTAATGGTAAAAAGTTATCTACAAATGAGGAGTTGGGTATATACATACGTATATATATATATATACATATTATATAATATTATATATAAATATAATATGATGTATATTGGACCAATGCTCGGGTAAATCTTATACCTTGAGGGGGTACTTAACATGAATAGAATTTTCAATTTTCAATCCTAGAGGGTTGAACATGGACTAGGTATACATACATATATATATATACAGTGAATATGTAGATATCAATCCCAAAACGATGGAAACAACGAGTCTTGGATATCCAAGACTCGCCACTTGGCTATCGAGGATCCCTAAAACCAATGTGGCGATCCGACTACAAAATGACTTGCATTACAAGTTATAGACCTGATGATATCCAATGATATCAATATTAGGACATATTCCAATTATATCAATGGAAATTTCAGGACGCTAGAATAGATTCACATCCCGTTACATATGCCCTTCCATAGGCCTAAAAAACATGGTAGGTACGGCCAATTTAGGTACCTGAAATGGAGGTTTCCTAAAATACGGATACCCCCAAATCATCAATTTTAGTAAGATTTTCCATTGTAAATCATTCATTTGGGGTACCCCCATGACTTAGGACACCTCCAAATGGCCAGTGTTTTTTTTTTTTTTTTAACCCACGGCCACGTCCGACACCTTGGGACGGCCAAGGCAGCTGCGAAACTTACTTCTTCTGGCGCTGTCAGTCCCAACCTCGGAGCGGTCGAGTGATCCCAGTGATCCCGGCCCTGACAATTATTCTGACATAGTTTCTGATATACCATCTGGAAGTATATTTATATATATATTTATATCTATTTATTTATTTATATTTATATTTATTTATTTATATATTTATATGTAGATATTCTGACCTTCTATCTGACATCTTTCTGACATTCTTTCTGGCATTCTATCTGGCATCTATTATTTATTATTGACGTACTTTCTGGCATCTATTCTGACATTCTGGAGCTCGCGGTTGAGAACCCCACGAAAGAAAAATGTGAAGTTGCAAAATATTCGCGAAAGTTCTTTGTTTCCGAAGAATTTAGATCAAGCAGGGATCACCACACCCCCCCAGATGAGTCCCCTCTCCCCCTGTGGCCTGGGGGCTCCCAACAACAACAGTCCTATAGTATATGGGCACGCTATGCAATGAGTCGTACATAGGTACGCTGTGAAACATGTGTAGGTAGTATATGTAGGGTGTAAGGAGTACA